TAAACCCTAAACCCTAAAGCCTCACACCAGGCCAAGCTTCGGTCTCTGCGCCCCGGCCGACGGCGGGACTTCCGGCACCTCTCCGAGGCAGGAACCGGGCTTTGGAGCGAGTTTAAGGGGTTTAGGGTTTAGGGGGAACCCTGAGGGGTGCTATAAGGGTACTGTAGTACTACAAGGTTTGTAGGTTTTAGGGTTTTATGATGAGGAGCCGGGTTTTAGAGCGAGTTTAAGGGTGCTATAAAGGTACAGTACTGCAGTACTATGAAGTTTATAGGGTTTAGGGTTTAAGGGAGCCATGAGGGTGCTGTAAGGGTACTGCAGCACTATGAGGTTTATAGGGTTTGGGGTTTTATGGTGAGTTGAGGGTGTTATACGGGTACTACAGTATTATAGGGGTGATAGGGTTTAGAGTTTTAGGGCGAGTTGAGGGTGATTGGGGCGAGTTTACGGATACGATAAAGGGGAGTATAAGGTTTCCTGAAGGGTGCTACAAAGCGGTAATTGCGGTAGATTAGTGTGATTAGAGCAGTTATGGGTACTGTAAGGGTGCTAGGGCTACTGCAAGGGTGCTATAAGGTTGCTGTAAGCTTACGTTAAGGGTATCATAAGGAACAACAAGGTTTCTATAAAGTTACGTTAAAGATACTGTAGGGGTATCATAAGGTTTCTGTAAGGTTACCTTAGCGGTACCATAAAGGTACTATAAGATTTCTATTAAGGATACTTTAAACCCTAAACCCTAAACCCTCCTAAGGTTTCTAGACGGGTAATTTATACAGGATATAAGCACTGCGAGTTCAGGTAATTGGGGTAACTTGGATGCTTAGGGTACTTACGGTAATCGGTGTTAGCATAAGAGGACAGTAAAGGGTACTTCTTGGTTAATTTCAGGTCAAGTGCGGTATTAATAGGATTACTGTTGCCTTCAGGGAAGTTATGGTATTTAGCGTAACTTTACATGGCGCTAGGATAGGAGCAGCATAGAAACCACATAGTGCCCTAAACCCTAAACCCTAAACCCTAAGCCCTAAACCCGAAGCCCTAAACCCTCAACCTCGGCGCCCTACACCCTGAACCCCCAAAACTCTAAACTTTTCATTTAAACCCTAAACCCCAAACCCTAAATCCTACCCCCACCCTCCCTAAATCCTACCCCCAAATCAGCGCCCGGATAAAACCCTAAACCCTAAACCCTAAACCCTAAACCCTAAACCCTAAACCCTAAACCCTAAACCCTAAAGGAGGCCAGTCCTGGCGAGAGTTCAGAGACGAGGTCTGGCCCTGGACCCACACAGCTCCTTGGACTTTTAGGGGTTGTAGGTGTTTTAGGGTTTCTATGGGTTTTAGTGGTTTTGGGGGTTTTAGGGGTTTAGGGTTTAGGGTTTAGGGTTTAGGGACGACAGAAAACATACGTCTTTGGTGGCCTTAACGCGTCCTTGGAGTCCTTTAAGGGTTCCTTTGAAGGGCCCGTAGGGCTACTATAAGGGATCTTTACGGGTTCAGGAGTTTACGGTTTTTCAAGCAGGTGTTCAAAGCATCAGGGGCTTCGAGCAGGGATGGTGAGGGTGATGATACGAAGGGTCCTACTGTTTTGGGTTTGTACATGAGGGCCCCAGAGGAGAAGCCCAGGGATTCGTTGGAAAGGTTCCAGAAGGGAAGCTTTCAAGCCAGCCGTAAAGACCGCAACATAGATCTTAGGGGTGCCTTGTGTGTTTCCTTAAACCCTAAACCCCTAAACCCCTAAACCCCTAAACCCCTAAACCCCTAAACCCCTAAACCCCTAAACCCTAACTAAACCCTAAACCCTAAAAGGCGCGAAGCCCCTCGAGGTTCGGGCGTCCACACGATGCCATCAGCTTGGACGACATCTCCGTGAAGCCTCCGGAGTTGGAGAAGGCGGCCCTGAACGGGTTTAGGGTTTATTGCTTTAGGGGTTTATGGCTTTAGGGGTTTAGGGCTTAGGGGTTTGGGGTTTAGGGTATAGGGTTTAGGGGTTTAGGGTTTAGGGCTTTTCTGGTTTAGGGTTTAGGGCTTTAGGGTCTTAGGGCTTTGGGTTTAGGGCTTTAGGGTTTAGGGGATTGGGTTTAGGGTTTAGAGCAGAACCCTAAACACCAAGAGCCCTAAAGCCTAAATACAAAGAAGCCCCTAACCCCCGAAGCCCTAAAGCCTAAATCCGAAACGAAACCCTAAACCAATAAACCTTTCGACCTACCTCCAGCCTAACCGTAAATTCCCCCAAAAAACCGAAACCCTAAACCCGAAACCCGAAACCCCATCAACTTTTAGACCTGCTCCCAGTGTACCCTAAACCCTGAACCCTAAACCCTAAACCCTACACCCTAAACCCTACACCCTAAACCCGAAGCCCAAACCCTAAACCCTAAACCCTAAACCCTAAACCCCAAAACCCGAAACCCTAAGCCCCCAAACCTTTTGCATCTCTCCGATCTCTAGTCGCAGCCTGCGAGGCTGTGGAGCCTCCAGCACCGGCTGTGGCAGGCTGAGCGCAGTTTATACCAGGTTTTTGCTAAGGAGTCTAGTTTAAGTTACCAAAGTGGGGATCTATAGTAAATAGTATGAATTTAAGTTACCACAATAGAGATCTACAGCAAATAATATGCTTTTAAGTTACCATAATAGGGATCTATAGTAAATAATAAGGTTACTTTTTTTAGTAACTTAAACTAAACCCCTTAACAAGAGCCCAGATGATCGTCGAGCTCAGCTGCGACGCAACGTGCATCAAGTCACGCTGTGTTAGATGCCTAGAGACTCCAAAAACCCTTAATTAAGGAATATACCTTGGATGATAATAGGATCCCTATTATGATTTAAGGTATATTCCTTAATTAGGGGGTTTTTGGAGTCTTTAGATGATGTCCATCGCGTCGATTTGGGTAGTTCTCTGAATCAGGGTCCCTTTTCAGGTCCCCAAGAAAGTACAGCACAGTTATAAAAAGGATCCAAAAAGGGACACGAATTTAGAGAGCTACCCATTTGTAAATGCAGACTCTTGTGGCATTTAAACCTGCCCCAGACAGGCCGGCTTGCAAACGCGAGCCTGTGATATAGGGGCCTAAATAATTACCAATACTTTTTTTTTGGTGGGGGGTTCCATATTATATTTATAGTATAATATACCCCATACTATTTTGGGGGTTCCTTATTATGATTGTAGTATAATGTACCCCAGCACCGTATTCTAATTATTAAGGCTCCTACATTACAAGCGGTCTCACTTGCACAGGGTCTCCAATTCGGAAACCCGACAGATTGGCACCACGTGACAGAGGCGCAGATAAGCTCTGAGATGCCTCCAGAGAGTTGGGTTGGCCAAGTGTGAGGGGATTGCAATCATGTATGGGTAGTTCTCTAAGATAGGGTCCCTTTTCGGGTCCTTTTTATGAGGGTGCTGTACTATATTCCACCGAAAAGGGACCCTTATTTAGCGAACTGCCCATATGGTTCTTGATTTCGCCCAGGAATAATGGAAAGGTTGGACCCATTGACCGCTTCGTGCGCGATCTCTCCCGTGCTCCAAACACGGCGCGATGAAGCTCGCAACTCGGCGGCACGTTGAGGGCTTCGTCAAGTTGGGAGGTGCCAGGACCCAGAGAACCCAATACACCTTAATTAAGGGAT